ATAATAATAATAATAATAATAATAGAAATAGGTTAAAATAACAAATGATAGTTCTTTCATAAATGCACAAAATGTAGTTGTTAAAATTCTAAATCCATTCTGGGTCAAACCTATGGGTAAACTAAGACTAGAAGAGCACTTCTCTAATATCATATAGAATATTTTTTAAATTTAGTAAGTTTCTTTAAAAACCCTGTACTATCTGCAAAAAATTTGGAGGGACTGCCCTATATTAAAAAGAATGTAAAGCAATAACTATCAGAAACAATTATTTAGCTCTTAGTGGATTCTTTGTTAAAAATAAATGAATGAAAAAAATAAAAGCAGCAATCAAATATATTTTGGAGAAAAAATATAATACCATATACAGCAGTGAAAGAGTTACTCTATTTTATAAAGAGTTCTTATAAATCAATTCTTTTTAAAAAGAACAAGTAATCAATTCTTCTCCCAAGATAAGTAAAGAACCATAAACAAAACAATTTCACACAAAGAAATACAAATTGCCACAAAACATTTGAAAAGATATTCAGCCTGATTAATAAACAAAGACATACAAAGTAGAATAATAATGAAATACTACTTTCTACTTTCAGATTAGCATAGATAAAGCAGAATAATAATAGGTGAAATTGGTGAAGATATAAATATTCTATCAGTCAGCTTTTCACAAGTATGAACTAGATAATTTAAAATTTTACATTAATAGTCTTTTCATCTAGCTTTAGACATCCATAATTTTTGGAAAAAATAAGCAAAAGGGCAAAAATTAATGTACATGATTTCTTATTGCAGAACTGTTTATAATTTTTGAATTAAATGATTATTTAAATAAATTATGGAATAATCATATATTTATATACTATTAAGCATCTGAAAAGAATAAGTAATTCTACATGTATGAGCATAGAAAGATATCCATGAAATATCATTAGTTAAAATGTTTATAGACAATTTAGTATAGTAGAATTTATCTAAAAGATACATATGTGTGATACATGCATTTATAGATACATAAAAAAACTTCTGGAAAAGCATATGACAAATTACAACTACTCTATCTGTGAAATAGAATTAAGGGGCTCTAGCTTTCCATTTTTGTCAAAATTTTTAGTATTTTTAATCATTATATATGATTTTTTAATCAGAAAGTATAATCACAATACTTGTGCAATGTGAAAAGTGTTATGGTTTGTGTCTAGATGTCCCCCTGCCAAAACCTCAGGCACTTTTATATGGGGCTTTCTCAGAGATGGCTGAATCTAGTTTGTAACTGATTCATGGTTCAATGCTGGGATTAAAGGTGCTGGGATTAAGTGTGGATGACTGCTGTGTCAGTCCACTGATGGACTGGCACTACCCTAGCCTAGTCCCAGTAGGCTGGATACAATATGTGGGAAAGGAAGACTTTTCTCCCCTCCTCTCTTGATTTTGGGATCTTCCACCAACATGAAGGGATGCCCCTCTGCCACACTACCCTGCCTTAGGGCCAGCCAATTATGGACTGAAATCTCTACAAACTATGAACCAAATAAACCTTTCCTCCTTTAGTAGAATTATCTTTTAGATAAATTCTACTATACCAAACGACAACCTTGGGTGTTGGGTATTTTATCTTAGTGAGAGAAAAGTGTGACAGGAAGGGAGAAGACCCCTAACAAAGGCCCAGCCCACCTTCCATCTCCAAAGGCTCCTCTAGGGGCACCTCAGGCAAATCTGAGTGAGAGATAAATACCTAATCAGAAGAATGGAAATCTTGCTTTGTAAAACTCCATATTCCCAAGTCTTCAGTCATATTACAGATGTGTCCTTTCTGAGGTCACCCCATTGCTGCTGCAGTAACTCCTCCACATCAGCCAACAAGAGTATATTTCCCCAAGGAAGTCCTGGGTTCCAAACCTCCAGCCTGATTTACTATCAGCTTAGGCTCTTGGCCTCTGACAGCCCATCTGCTCAGCAGGCCTCTGATATAGTTAACAGCCCTCATTACTTTTAAATTGTCTCTTAGCACAGATTCGGAGACAAGGACAACAAGAATGTCCTCTAAATCCCTGAAATAAATCAATCCCTGTAATCTGTTCCCATGTCCCCTTCATGCCTATGAGCCTGATTACAGAGGCCTAATCGTAACACCTGTAACTATCACACTTAAGACCAGGCACCCAGCACAGGCTCTCCAAGCCTGAGGCTAAGGGGGACTTCACCAGATGATTCCAAGTGACGCAGTGCTGTGTCTGGGAGCTTCACATATCCGAGGGTAATTCAGGAAACAGCTCCGAGATGCTGGGCTAGCGAGAAAAGACAGACTCTGGGTAATTACATTCATAGCTTGAATTCCATGTGGGGGTAATTAATAATCAATAAATGTCCCAAATGAGTGAACATATTGAGTTATTCCATCATTTAAAACAGTGGCAGTGTTAATGTGGTCCTTCTGTAGGCTTCATTAACTGGACAGAATGTCAAGTCAGGGTAGATTTATTTTTTCATTTTTTCCCCCTTACTCTTTACTTTTCTTCCCTCCCATTGTCCATAAATGGAACTGGTAGTTATGGGAAAGAGAGGCATTTCTCAATTTTATTGGCTATTCAGAGAAAGGTCGAAATTCCCTATGATCACCCTGCCTACGCTGGGAAAAAAGAAAGCTATGTAGAAGTAAACAATTAGTTGGGAGATTTGGGATTTAAAAAGAATAATATAAAAGGGAGGACAAAGTTCTAAATATAAGTAAGCCGCCTTTCATCATACAGTGTTTAGAACTAACCTCAAAGTGATTTCAGGTAGAAACACCACTGTATGGGGCAGTTCAAGAGACACAAAGTGCCAAGCTTGCCATGGAAACTGCAAGTGCCTTGAGAACTACTCAGCCTTACCTCAGAACACACATGCTTCCCTGTCAGTCAGAAAGACAAAGACAGCGAGGCTGGGCTCTAAGGAAATGGAACATCAGGTGGATGAACACACAGGTAGAAAGAAGGACGGGTGGGCAGATGGATGGATGAGTAACCGGGGAGGATGACACAAATGGACAGACAAGTGAGTAGGTAGGTAGGTGCTGTCCTCCCTCCCTCCCTCTGTCCATTCCTCTACATCCAAACAGGGCCAAGAAGTGTGTCCTACTTCACAGAAAGCGGTAACTGTGCTTCTTCCCAGGACGGGCTTTTTCCTTGTTCTTTTGATCCTACCTCCTCCAACCCCCTCTCCAGTCCCATGCCATCATCTATCTGAATCTTTAATTATTCTGTCTCTACTTCACTTCTCCCATGTACTAACACACTCAATATACATGTGCCTCCCTTGGCCAGTCTCATCCCAGGCTAACTTCCACTTTATTCCCTTATTATCCTCTTCTGGACAGAGCACTCCAGATCCCACTGTGTCCACTCATGCACTGCAGTGTGTGTATTGCTCTCCGCTCCCGGGTGGCTCC